GGTCTGTCAAAACCTGTATAAGTAGCTGACATGCTGCACTTAGGTAATAAAAGTTAGTAGAATACTATTGCTATGCTAATACTTAAGGGGAAAAAAGCAAGATAGTGTGTTTTTTAATGTACCTTACACTGCCTCTTGGATGCTTATGCTTGAGAAAAGCTGATGCAATGAGAGGTAGATAGAGGCTTGTAGAATGTGGAAAGGGACTTCCAATACTACAAATATTAAAGATGCCGTTCTTAACTCAAAAAGCATAGATTTCCCATATGACACAGCAAATCCACTCCTAGGTGTCCACCCAAGAGAATTGAAATCATTCACACAAAACCTTGTACACGAAGGTTCACGGCAGCATTATTCCTAAGAGCCAGAAAGTAGAAACAAGCCAATGTCCCTCATCTCTGAGTAGATACAATAGAGTCGTATTCAGCAATAAAAGGAATAAAGTACCCATGTGTGCTTCAAAGTGGATGAGGTTTGACAATATATTATGCTAAATGAAGGAAGCAAGTTCCAAATGACCATCTATTGTTTGATTCCCTTTATATGAAAAGTCCAGGAAGACAGGAGATAAATGGTTGCCTAGTGCTGCGGACAGGAATGAACTAACTGCAAGACCCTTCTGAGGTGCTGTAAATGTTCTAAAACAATTTGGGTGATGGTCGCATGACATAGTAAATTTAGTACAAATCCTTAAATCATCCCCTTGAAATGGGTGGATTTTATGGTATGCAAATACCACCTCAATAAAGCTATTTACACAAGCAAACACACACACTGTGGTTTTGCTCTTCCTTGCTAGTGCACTTACAAAGTGCAGCTCAGCATACTTGCCAGCCAGGGTTTAGTTCATTTTTATAGCAAACAGGAAGGGAATTTTCCTGAGATAACTGGGGAGGCAGAGGACTTTACATGTCTTATTTTTACAACCCGAGCCCCTAGTACAGTAATGCCTGTGACACAGTAGTAGCTTGGTCATTGTTTGCTGAATGCAGTGTAATAAATGAGGAAAATTCCCAACAGGGAACTAAGTGGTCTGTCATTAGTGAAAATCAGGAAATGAAGCCAAATCCTGGAGATGAATAGGTGGGCGGGGTGGGGGTGGGGGGCTAGAGGATCCATGTTAGCAGCGGCAGACAGTTCCTTACCTTGATTGTCTGATTAGAAAAATATGTACTTACACATAGGTGCAGTGTTCAATACGACAGTTATAGTAAGTCTAACCTTTGCAAGTTGAGAAGCACTTAGAAACCACTCAAAACAAAGGGGCAGGGGAAGTACTCTGATTTTTAGAAAGCAGCAGACCCAGTAAAGTCAGAAAACTTTATTACCATTTATCATGAATAATTTACAAGGGATACTAGGAGGTTAGTCTTCATACAAGTTCCTTTCAAGTATAAAAATCAACATGTCAGTGTATGCTTAGGACCATCAAATCAGTCCAGTACAAAACTTCTCAGACTTGTGGATCACACCTCCGTTTACTAGAGGGACACGAGTTTGCCCAAACCAAACCTAGGCTTACTTACATTTGGGGATTGGGCAGGCAAAGGGGAGCAAGAGGCACTATTAGAAGCTAACTTGGAAGGTTTTTAGTAGCTAAACAGAGTTCCCAGAGACACAGGTGACAGCCATGTTGGTAGCCCCTTTCAACCATGAAGTCCTGTGAGAGCACCCCTGCAGCATCAACAGGAATATCCTGAGACTGGAATACACTGGCTGCCTGTGGGAAAACTCAGGGACTGTACACAAGGACAGCCGACTCCTATAGTTACCACACTACAGCAGCAGCCCCACTTTCCAGAGTGCTCCTGGGCCTTAGCGGAGGAGGGCCACCCTCACTCCCTCTCTCCCAGTATACACTGCTCCTGCAGAATCCCTGCCACCCACCACAGGAGGCCCGGGGTCACACAGGAAAATAGATACAGTACAGTGAAAGTGAAACAAAAGGCACATGCAAGGCAGTGCTGTCCATCCTGGCTCCTCCACGGCTTTAGACTGGCAACTGGTGGAGAAATAGACACCAACAAAGGACTGCATGAAGTGGGGGGTGCGGTGATGAAGGCAAAACAAGACACTTGAGTCCCTGGTGACGGAAAAGGGAACAAGAAGCAAAGCAGGAAGAGTGGAGACTTGACATAACCTTTTGTCTTCTGTCACTACTTGATTTCTGCTTGACCTCCAGGTTCCAGATTCTCCAAGAGTAGGGCTGCCAGACTTAGCAAATAAAAAATACAGGCTGCCCCGTTAAATTCGAATTTCAGATAAATAGCAAAAAGTTTTTAAGTGTAAGTATGTCCCCAAAATTGCATATTACGTACTGTACTAAAATTTTGTAAAAAATAATTTTCCTTTTTTTAATTATAATTAGATTTATTGGGGTAACATTGGTTAATAAGAAAGTTTCAGGTGTACAGCTTTATAATACGGCATCTGTATGCTCCATTGTGTGTGCTCACCACCCAAAGTCTAGTCTCCTTTGTCATGTCTAATATTTCTGTGTTTATGTGACAACCCTATCTGGGAGGTTCATTTAGTCTGAGGGAGGCCACTCTGATCACATCTTGTCAGAGAATCACAGCAAGACTGTCAGAGCACAGCACACACGCTTCACACACCATGGGGGAAGTATGTGATCCGTTAGCTCCATTCCCCAAATTCTCAAAATCCAATGCTATTTTGGCAGGATGAGGGTACGTGCATGGTGGAGTTGTCACTGGCTGTCTGCCAGGTGGGCAAGTAAGCTTTTCTTCCATATCAAATAAAGGTCAGAAATACGAGGGAGGAGAAGCAGGCCCACTAGGATATGGAACCTGACTCCGATTGGCCCAGGCAGCTGAGCAACTCCAGCAAAATCACCACCATGGTGATAACCCTGGGGTCTGGAGATCCAACAGAGTCCAGCTCTCTTGGAGCAGCTAAAAGACCTCAAAAGGCACAAGGGGCTGAACAAACACACACACACGCATGCTGGAGGAACAGGAAGAAAGCAAGGTAGCCTTTTTAGTGACTCAGGAATGACAGCAGAAAAGACATCTCAGAGGGAATCCAGAACTCCCTGACAGTGACTGGCAGGACATTTTGCTTGGTTTTATTTAGGGGTTAACCTTCAGTGGTAGTTCCCTAAAATGGGAGGTGATGGGGAAAAGGGCCACACAGAAGCCTCAGAGAGACAGCTTTTCAAAGGGATTGTTAATTCCACTTCACCAGGCCCACGGTGCTATCAGAATCCGAGAGCGGATCTGACCACCACGTCGCACATCCAGTGCAATATGGTGACCAAGTGCCAGACCCATCTCCTGAGGATGGAAGAGCAACAGGAACAAGTCCATGGCTGACAAACATTCCTTTCAAAGGCACGAAGGGGGAAGCCTCAGAAAGAATAAGGCCACACTGCGCTTCTCTCCATAGCCGCCTCCATGGGAATTCTAGGCCCTGTTCACCAGCATCTCTGACAGTGTTCCCAGAGGCGTTAATAGGTGTTGCATAGGACCCCAAACATTCAGTGAAATAAGTTTGGGGACTGTTGCATACTTATTAAAACTTATAAATTCCTGCAGTAGAGGAGCCTGTTTGGTTTGTTTAAATGGCTGCTTCCTGACTTATTTGACCACGGAGCCCTTTTAAGGAACATCTGTTACCATCTCCCAGAACTTTGGAAAATGCTGCTTAGCCAGTTTAGCAAAAGTGTCTCATCTCAAGAATGAGACAAGAACGTATGAACATTGGTAACACCCAGGAATCACACACAAACTGGTTTTCACAAATCAGTATATCAGAAAGTTGAAGGCAGTGATTTGAAAAGTGGAGAGCCCTGCCCTTCTGTGAGGCGCTTGCTTGGTGGTAACTTCAGCCAGGGCAGCTGAGATTCCATTTCAAAGGAGACAAACGCCTACAAAGAACAGTATGAGGCTGCTCTGTTTAGTTGTTGCCTGGCTAGGACAGGAAAGAACAGTGCTTGTGGTGTCTCCGCTAAGCACTCTGACCACACACACACTCACACACACACTCTCTCTCTCTCTCTCTCACACACACACACACACACACACACACACACTCGAACTTCCTCCAAAAGGTTTAAACTAAACTTCAAAGCAGCCATATGTACACACTAGCCTGTCTTTGTTCCTCCAAAAGCCAAGTACCCTGGAGCCTAGGGTTTCCAAAAGAGACAAATGGCTCATGCTGGCATTGCTATTTGCTGCCAAATGAATCCCCCCTTATTCTCCTCAGGTGCAGTCCCAAGTAGCACCCCAAAAGCTATAAGAGGACACACTTCTTGGTGGTCTTCTTTGTGGCAGGGTAAAGGACAGCCCGGACAGCTTCCAAAAATACCTCATGTACCCCATCCTTCGTCCGAGCAGAACATTCTAGATACTTCACAGCCCCCATTCGCTTAGCCAAGGAAGCGCCTTGCTGAGGAGTTGTAGGCACTAGTCTCTGTTCCTTCAGCTTCTTCACTGTCTCACGGTCACTCCGCAAGTCCCTCTTGGTGCCTACCAGTAGAACAGGTACATTGGGGCAATGATGGGAGACTTCTGGGTGCCACTTATGCTTCACATTGGCATAAGAGGATGGGTTCCCAATGGAAAAACAAATGACAAAGATATTGGTCAAGGGGTAGGACAGCGTTCGCAGTCGGTCATACTCCTCTTGGCCAGCTGTGTCCCACAGGTTCAGGCTGACGAGCTGACCATCCACAGATGTCTGGGCGCTATAGTTGTCAAATACAGTGGGGATATACTCTTCAGGAAAGGCATTTGTTGTGTAACTGATGAGGAGGCAGGTCTTACCTACAGCCCCATCTCCTACGACCACACATTTGATCGTCTGCATTCTTCCCTCGGAATCCTATGTATAAGAACAAAATAAAGAATGTTCACAGAGGCTTGGTTCATTTAGAGAGCCTAAGCTTTATAAACATTTCACTTTAAGGAGAAAGAGGAGGTGAGACCCCCCTCCCCCACTGCCCGGCCCCATAACACCACAGAAGAGTCAGCTGGGAAGGGCGGTACAGGGCAAGAGTTCTTACCATGGACTGCTAGAGGACAGGCTTCAGTAGGTCCCAAAAGCCACCTCTGAAGTTGTGTGCAATCGTATATGTATGTGCATAAGTGAATTTTTCTGGAAAGAAGATCCAAAACTGTTAGATTCTCAAAAAGGGCTGTGAGCCCCAAAAGACTAAAACCCATTTGTAGACAGGTATTCATATTCTATTGTCATGAGGTCTGGAGATCGAGCGGTATCAAAGGTGTTAAAATATAGTAGGTGCTCAATAAATGGTCACTAATTTTAAAAATTGGTATAGAAAGGAGGTTCCCAAAGCAGAAACAAAAGAAAGAGGCTCTGACTTTGGGTCTGTGGCTATAGACTCAGCAAAGGAACCTCTGCTCCTGAAAAACAGCAATACCGTCAGAGAGAAAGGCAGACCAGTTAGACTGAGCCAGAGAGAGAGCTGGTTAAGGGTCTAGGCTCCAAAGTCAGACCGCCTGGAGTCAAAACTAGTCCCCTCTATTCCTAAGCTTTGTGAACTTGTGCAGATTTTTAACCTGAGGCTTAAATGAAGGATTGCATGAGCTGTAATTCGTAGTACGTGCCACATAGGAAGTGCTTAAGTGTCAGAAGCTACTGTGACTTCATAATTCTATTCTGCTGGGGAAGGCAAGCCAGGGGTCTCATCCCTTCCCACCTTATCTGAGTAAAACTCCAGATCAAAGAGTTCCACACTCATCCATTTCTTCATGAATCAAGTAATTGGGAGGGGGTGACCGGTTAGCTCAGTTGGTTAGAGTGTGGTGCTGATAACACCAAGGTTGCCGGTTTGATCCCCGCATGGGCCACTGTGAGCTGCGCCCTCCCTAAAAGAGTCAACTATGCCATTGTAGCATGAAAGCAATGTGTAACCAATGACCATAGCTGTTCCCCAATAAAATTTTTTTAAAAAGTATTTGGGAGTGAGTGGCACAGCACAGATGACCTCCCAGCATGTTTACTATGAGCTCCCATGTTTGTACCCCTGTTAATGCCCTGTCAGTGCCCAACGGCACTCCAAATTCTCTAGCTTAACTACTGCCCTAATTTCAGACCTGATCCATATAACATTAACTTCTTCAGGTATCAGAATGAGGAGGATGGGGTAAATTGTCATGTGTATTTGATTATAGAAAAAATTGAGATTCAGTTAAGTTTCTCATCTGGGGAATTTGGGGGAATAGACACATCGTCCATCCTGTTGTCTTACTAGCGAAGGTCTACATTAGGCCCATATCACAGACAAAAACAAAACAACCTATTTTGTGTCGGGGTAAAGCAAAGCTGGCTGTCCAAGCATGCTTCACACAAGCCCACTAGGGGTAGCTCTCCGCCCACACAGCCAGTTCTGACCAGCGAGGCATTCCCCCAGAAGCCTTCGTTAGCACATGCCCCACAGCCAAAGTCCAGAGCGTAATTCAGGACTAGCAGGCAACCATCCCAGGGTATCCACTGACCATCAGCTCTGGTTGTTGCCATCGAGGAACAGGCATAAGGATCAAACACACAAGGTCAACACAAGGTCAGTAGAAACAGGGCAGTCACCACCTAATTCTGGAAAATAGCCTTCTTTCCTTGACTTCCCCAGTCTGGATTCATTTCTTTCTCTGAATTCCTACAGCATGTTTGTACTGTTTGTACAGCTCACCTTCCCAGCCTCCTCTAGGTATCATCCAGTGTCTAGCATCTCTGCTGAAAGTGACTGTTTTCAGGCACACCAACAACACATCTGAGAGCTGCTGAACCAGAGCGAAACTTGTAGGCACAAAGACCACTTTGTACCCCAAACTCAGCCCCTCGTGTGCATAACTAGAAAGCATCGACGCTCATTTCTACTTGTTTCTATCTACCAGTTCTCCTGGTATATATGGTCTGCAGACAGGCACTCAGGTCACACTGATGCCCAAGGGCCCGGATAATGGCGTGCAGCTGGCATATCTCAGGTCTGAAACAAAACTCAAAACATCCTCACCCGTAGCCAACTCTACAAAAGGGAGGGGTCAGCAAAAGTCCCAGGTAGTTGTGAGGGCTGCTGTGCACAACTCACTCATATATTCAGCCCATCATCATTTGTTCATTATGCTATTTTCTCTACTTGTGTGTATGTTTGAAATTCTCCATAGTTAAAAAGTTTTAATACTAAAACATATGTCCAAAACAACTGAAAACAGGGTCTCAAAGTGATGTTCACTGCAGCACTATTCACAATAGCCAAGAGGTGGAAGCAACCTAAATGTCCATCGATAGGTGAATGGATAAAAAAAATGTGATATATATATATGTGATATATATACATATATATATATATATATAATTTATTTCAGCCTTACAAAGAAGGAAGTGTTTTCATATGCTACACCATGGATGAACCTTGAGGACATTATACTAAGTGAAATAAACCAGTCACAAAAAGCCAAATACTGTAAGATTCCCCGTATTCAAGGTATCCATACCAGCAAACTCATTGAAACAAAGTAGAATGGTAGTTGCCAGGGCTGGGTTGGGAGGAATGGGGAGCCCTCTAATGGGTATAGAGTTTCAGCTTTGCAAGATTTTTGAAAAAATTCTAGATCTCCATTGCAAAGTGTATATATTTAACACTGCTATACTGTATACTTAAAATGGTTTAAAATACTAAAAATAAAAATCATACTTTTTCAAAGGGTTGCGAGCCCTGAGAGAAGGCTAGGAGTTAGAGGAGACAGGCAAATACTGTGTTCGCCACCCACGCGAGAAAAGCTGTTCACTGCAACTCTGGGATCTAGCACTCTCCCACATTCGACTGTGAGCAGCGCACTGCTAGGAGGAGCTCAAGGCCAGCTGCAAAGAAACAAACAGGAAAAGAATGCTAGAAGCTTCCAGCCTTTTGGTAAAGGCAGAATTTACATGAAAAAGCAAACAATGCTCAGTAACACCTGGCTGGGAAAAGTTGCTGCAGGGTATGCAAAGGCAAACTAAAACTTGAGAGCCTTATCACAGGCTGTAAAGCACTTCCACCCATCTTATTGTTTAAACCTCACAAAAGCAGTCAGGTGACATGAGGGCCACTCAGAGATCTTTAGGTAGGCCTCTAGGATTGGAAATTGGGACAGGCCTGGAGCCCAGAGACCAGGCTCCCCAGAAAGCTCCCTTCCACGTCAGTCATTCACTGTTAACCTTGGAACTATAGTTTCTTGTAAATCTTCCAATTTCATCTGACAAAGCATCCTTCACATGGCCAGTCTGCACAGCAGTCCCTTTTGGCCTAGTTGGACACACAATACGAAAGACCCAATAACAGTCAAGACAAGAATGCAGCTCAAAGTACTACTGCCTCCTAGCACTTTCTCCTCCAAGTCTCACCCTTTCCGCAACTCTCAGACTAATCCATTTGAAATCACTTAACTTTCTGAAAGCAAAACAATTCAGCAGAAGTCTCCCGTTTTTATTTAGTATTTTCTGCAACTGTGTTGTCCACCAAATCGGGGACATTTTCTCATTGAAAATTGATTTCTTTGGTTCAGGTGCAAAAAAGTCTTTGGCCCTCTGGGGCCGAAGGCAGCCGTGTGGACACGCCCAGCCCAGAGCGCCTCTCCTGAACCCCGCAACTTCAGCAGAGGCAACTATAGCGGCCCATCAGTAATCAGCAGGAGCCCGCGGGGCACATCCCTCATCCTCTCCACCCAAGGTGAGTGGTTCTGGGACACAGAGGTGCCCCATATCGGAGTCACCAATAGGAAGACCTGGCTCCCCCTCCCGTTAACACACGCCTCAGTCCACCCTCAGACCCTTCCCGGGGAAGAGGGCCGAGGTGGGCACCGCCGGGGTGGGTGGGCACCGCCGGGGTGGGGGTGGGATCGTCTCAGTAGATTACCGGGCAAAGCGATCGTCCTCTGGCGCCGTTCAGCTGCCGCTGGCACAGCCTCCCCGCGTCTCTCACTGGGCTGGGCAGGGTCGGTGGGCTGAGCGCCACATCCGGGCAGCTACCAAGTCCCACCCCGTGGTCGACGCAGTCTCAGCTCTGAGCCCGAGACCTCCTGGGAAGTGGAGCTCTGGGGCCCCGCCTCGCCCTGGGCACGTCATAGGCTCTTAAACGACACCTCCCACCTCCCTCCAGTACGGGGATTGCTTAGGTCCTGATCCCAGTACCAGTTCTATGGGCAGGGAACCCCAAGCCTCACCTTTGCACTGCAGAGTTAGGCCACTCCTCCTCTCAGCCCCTATAAAGTGTTAGGGAAAATGGAGGTGATCAAAGAAAATGAGGTAAAGAGAAAATTGGGGTTGCTCATTCTCACCAAATACTAGTTTGCATTTTCTAAGTTTTATATAAATTGAATCATTCAGTATGCACTTTCTAAAAGAGCCTCATTGACAAACATTCACATACCGTAGAATTTCACCCATTTAATCTGTACAATTCATGGGTTTGGCTATATTATTATTTTTTAAAATTGTTGTAAATATATATATATATATATATATATATAAATAACATAATTTGCCATTTTAACCGTTTTTACATGTACAATTCAGTGGCATTAAGTACATCCACAGTGCTGTGCAACCATCCCCACTGTCGTTTTCTAAAACCTTGTCATCACCCCAAACAAATTCTGTACCCATTAAGCAGTAACCCCTCATTGCCCCATTCCCACAGCCCCTGGAAACCAATCTTTAATCTACTTTCTGCCTCGGTGAATCTGACTTTTCTAGGTACCGTTTATTTATTGATGCACATTTGGCTTGTTTCCAGCTTTTTACTAGTGTGAATAACGCAGTGACCATTAGCGTACAAGAATCTGGTTTTGTTGATTTTCTCTGTTTTTGTTTTCTAGTTTACTGATTTCCACTTTGATCTGCATTAATTTTCTTTATACTGTAAGTTTTATTTGCTCTTCTTTTTACTGAAGTGAAAGCCACAGTCATTGTTTTGAGACCTTTCTTCTGTTCTAACATTGGTGTTTAGTGCTTAAAAATTACCCCCTAACTACTGCTTAAGCAGAATGCCATAAATTATATGTTGTGTTTTCATTTTCATTCAGTTCAAAATATTTTCTAATTACCCTTTTGATTTCTTCTTTGACCCATGGTTATCTAGACGTAGATTATTCAGTTTCCAAGTTTTTGAGGATTTTCCAGAGATCTTTCTGTTATTGATATGTAATTTCAGTCCATTGTTTTCAGAGGATATATTTTGTATGGCTTGAATCTTTTGAATTCACTGAGACTTGTTTGTGGCCTAGAATATGGTCTGTACTGATAGATACCCTGTGTGTACTTGAAAAGGATTTGTATTGCTGTTACTGGGTGGAATGTTCTATAAATGTAAGCCAGGCAGGACAATTTGGTCGATAGTGCTGTTCACATCTATATCTTGGCTGATTAGAGATGCCTACTTGTCCTAGCAGTTACTGAGAGAAGGGTATTGAAATCTGACTAGAATTGCGGATTTGTCTATTTCCTTGCAGTTTATCAGTTTTTGATTCATGCATTTTGAAGCTCTTACATTAGGTGCACAAATGTTTCAAATTACCATTTCATGGAGAGTGTAAGAACCTTATATTAATATATTTCCATTTCTTTCTTCCTGGACTTTGCACTATTGTTAACGCATTTTACTTTTACCCCACAATACATCGTTATCATTTTTGTTTAAACAAAATGCTGTGGGGAAGCAAATAATAACTAGACCTTATTTTTTTTAAAGCAGTTTTAGGTTCCCAGCAAAATTGAGCGGAAAGTACAGAGACTTCC